CAGCTTATTATTTCAACCAACAAGATGTGGCAGGAAAGACTAGAAGGCGCCCGCAGGCATGGTCACAGAGCCTTAGGGTCATCACAGCCATCCCTGGGGACACATACCGTGACAGTTTGGTTTACTTTACGTTTTCATTGTTTCATTTTGGGGTTTTTTGTTTAATAATGGGGAAAACTTATAAATTCCAAACACTGGTATACAGAGAGTAATAAAAAGTTGCTTTTATTGATGCTCCAAAGGTAATGACTTCATCCCTTTGTCCCAGTGTTTCAGTGCCAGCTGTAAGGGCTGATGTGCATAATCAAGTTATGACATTACATGATGGATATATATATATATATATTTTTTTTTTTTAATGAGTTAGGACCACAGTAAACTTTTATTTTCTTTTTTTTTCCCTGTTGAACTGTAAAAATTTCTCATGTTCCTCACCAGCCCTAATGATTTACTGTTGATGGTCTATACCAAGTTTTGGCAGCATTTTTTCCCAGCAGTGGGGCAGAATGACCCGGCTTGTGTTCAAATTAGGCTTGGGCTAGGATCCAGCTGCTGTTGCCACTTCTCTCTGCTGCCTTGCCACAACACTGCACCGAGAAAGTGAAGCCCACTGCCAGTTAATGGTGCCAAAGTCCCCAGGCTCCAGCAGGATCTAGTCCATGGACTGTAGGTTGACAGGCCCTGGCCTACACCGTTAGACTTTTCCATCCACCCAAATTGTAACTGATTTCATGTCATGATAAGATTTAACCTGGAGGCAACTGCAGCACTGTAGTTCAGTGCAATAATCACTTTGGTGTAGGTTTATGACTTTTCCTTTTCCTTTCCATAGACGGGGCCCTGATGTTTCAACAGGTTCCCATGGTGGAGATCGATGGGATGAAGTTGGTGCAGACCAGAGCTATTCTCAACTATCTAGCAGCAACGCACAACCTCTATGGGAGGGACCTGAAGGAGAGAGCCCTGTACTTTAACATCAGTACCTTCACTCAGTCTAATATAATAATTGATGTAGAATTAGGGTTTATCAAGTATACCTCATGTCTGAGGTGTATAGAGTCCTTGTATATTTGTCTCAGTGGCATTAATCTGTTGCAGAAAAGGTCAGATTTTAGAATCCTTATATTCCAATGATCTTGATTTAAAATCAGGAACCTTTTGGCCAAGTGCTCCAATTTGTAACGGAACAACCCTCCAGCTTGTTAGCTAGCATAACATTTGACAGAGGTACACTAGGAGATGGGTCTTCCTTTTTTATATTTAGGAAACCATCTTTTTTTTTTTATATTAAGGAGAAGCAATCTTGAAGTGTTTTATCTGCAAAATGTGACTTAAAATATTGTGTTGCTTTTAGAAAGCATTATGTTACACAGCAGCATTATAAAGCAACTTTTTAAAAAATGTTGCTTTTGATAGAAGTCTGTCTAGTCTCTGGGAGATATTTGAGTTAAATTTTAATTTAAAAATCAAGTCTGTTTTTTTTTTTTTTTTTTTTCTTTTCCTTTCTCTTCAGGATTGACATGTATGTGGAAGGAACAACTGACCTAATGCAGTTAATTCTTATGTTCCCTTTCTTATCAGCTGAGGATAAGGAGAAGCAACATGCCCTAATAGTCCAAAAAGCCACAAACAGATACTTTCCAGCCTATGAAAAGGTGTGTGGCAGGAGTGAACAAACACTGAAGGGTAATATGATGAGAGCAATGAAGTGTCCAAAATAAGGTGTTGGAAAAGTGTCCAAAATAATGGGATGGAAGGGATAGTGGGATAGCACTCTGTGATAACTATAGCATTACCAGTTATAGTTATTGAGCATTTAGAAGAAGACATCCAGAATGTTAACTGTGTAGTAAGTCATGGGCTAGATGCAGAAATTATTGACTCTGTGGAATGAGTTGTAACATATGTCACATTAAATTATCTTGACAGTCCTTCTTTGTTTAAAGCCTCAAACCCACAGGAGTCAAACTTTTATAGTCTGCTGGCCAGATCCACCGCACAGAGCTCCGTTATCTGGCCTCCAGTGCCATCTCTGGATCTGAACGGAACTGGACCAATCCCACAGGAATCCTACTGTACACAGTGCCAATTGCAGGTGCTCTGAGAACACACATAATGCCTCTCCTTGGACACTCATCATATGCGGTGCTTGCTTCAGCCAATCCACAGGCACTCCATGCAGCCATGCAACATGGGTCCTGGTCCAGCCTGAGCAAGCACTGCATGTGGCACAGTCCCAGACCAGCCAATATCTGGGGCCCAATGTGTGGCATGGGTCACAGAGTGGCTGGAACCTGCACCTGTTCTGTCCAGTCTGGGATCCATGCTACACGTGATGCCTGCACCACCTAGAGCACCCATTGCAGCCACTCTGGGATGTGCACCACAAAAAGCGCAGATTTTGGAGCAGGTTCTATGGGCACTGGATCTGGCATGGAGGAGGGGGTCCGTGGGCCTTTTGCCCAATCTGACCTATGGACTGGCCCCATGTCACTCATCCAGAAGAGGGGCCAGAGGAGTTTGACACCCCACTCTAATCTAATGTAGTAACATACTTGTAGAACATGGTTGTCCCTACAAGGATTAAAATGTGCAACAGAGTCATGTTGATCTTTAAAAAGCTTGCTTGTCAGTTGGATTTTGGCACCTCAGTTATGTGTACCCTGCCTCACTAAAACTAGATAGCGTGCTGACCCGCAACTTACTTTTGTGTATCTGGCCCTACTTGACTTGCTTCAGGTCACAGAGGAAGCCTGTCTTGGAACAGAAACTGAACCCAGCTTTCCAGGAGTTCATGTTAATGTTCTCCCCCTTTCTACAGTTGGAAGAAATGATAGCAAAGAAATTAATGTGCTTCCATCAGGAAGTGGTTCAGTCTGGTGAACTGACTGTTGATGTAAGCATTCTAAGAGATACCAGCCACAGCTGCTCATATTTTCATGGTGGCAATTCTTTAGTGAATTAAACTTTTTTTTTCAGGTTTTGAGAGACCATGGCCAAGACTATCTCGTTGGCAACCAGTTCAGCTGGGCAGATATTCATCTGTTTGAAGCTATTTTAATGGTAGAAGAGAAGAAGTGTGATGTTCTCTCTGAATTCCCTCAGCTACAGGTAGCTATGTTAACAAATACAAATACACCAAGTTTGAATGATAGAAATGGTTCTTGGCCATCTACATAGGGAAATAAACCTGAGCACAGGTTTACTTGTAAAAAAAAATAGCAGTTATACTATTTTTTTAAAAGCCAAAAGACTAATACAGTGGCTCTCTAATAAAAGAGTTATGTAATCTACTCTACTTGCTGACAAATGCAGTCAGCAGGCAGGAGTGGAAGTCTACCAAAATCTAAGCCAGATCCTATCCCCACATTAGACATGTAAATGGTATTTGGACAAATAATCAAATCCCTGAAAACCATTAATATAAAGGTGGGCTGGTTCTCCTTCTATTCTGGACTCCTAAGTTAAGATGAAGGCTTATTACAACCATAGATACTAATGCTTTTCAGAGTCTTGAGCAGGGCAAAATATTGGGTGCACAAGTGCAATCCTAAATGGAATATTATCTCTTGCAAACCCTACTAATTTTTAGAGTGACTTCTTTGCAAACTTGTGGAATTCTATGGCAAGGATACTGCCTTGTAGAAGGCAGTGTAAAGTCTATAGAATAGTTATTTTTATCTTCTTATCAGTTCTCAGATGCTTTCCAGTAAAAAATCACTTTGGATAACAGGATGTGACTTTTAAAAACTATGGATAATTCAGCTACTTTACTTTCACAATGTAGATATATTTATTGCTAGTCTGGGTAATGTGACTGGGGAGGAAAGCCAAATTCCCCAGTGACTAAGGACTTTGTTACATGGTAATTTTTTGTGGCTCCTGAAGCACTTAAACCCTGGATTGCCCGCATATTAACACCAGAAACTAGTTTTAAGCACTCATTATGTGGTTCAAAGTTGCATCAATCCAGGACAGGATTATCTATGATCCATTTTGTCAAGCCCATATTAAGGTGTAGCCACTCTAGGCTACACCTTGAGTGTAAACTTCCCATCTGCTCCCCCACCACCAGCCTCACTGGCCTGGATTGGGTCCACTGCCCTCCCCAGTGCCTCAGGAACCCTGACACCTGGTGGCCATGTGAGTCCTGACCAGCTCAGTCTCTACTGTAGTCCTTGCTTGATTGCTTGCCTTCCATGGTCTTACTGAGGATTAAATAAAAGAGACTGCCCCCAGGCTTTAGAGCATGCCATAGTCCGTGCATGTCGCTACCAGGCCCCTCCCAGACCCTACTAGTTTCAATTTGGCCCTTAAGCTCAGTAGGTCCTCTTGGCCTGTCCATGCATTTGCAGGGCACCTGTAGCTTTAAGGGCTCCTTGTGTCACTCCATCCTCCCCTACACCACACCCCATGCCTCACAGGTGTTGTTATTTATAATCACTTACCTTGTAGGGATCTTGGCCTTATCAGCCACCTCCCCTTATGCTCTCGCTGGGCCTTTAGCCCAGGTCCATGGTACAGGACCTGGCTTCTAGGCTCCAGCCTCCCTGTCTATAGGTCCCTGACCCTATCTGTCTCTGGCAGTGGTCCCTCTTGGACCTTTCGTCCCTCCTGGGCCTATAGAGGCCTCCAGGCAGTCCCTGGCTATGGTCTCTCCTGGCCTGTTAGCCCCTCTTGAGCTCTGGTCCCACCCTCAGGTCACCTGAGACCTCCAGGTTTCCCCAGCCCTGGCAGTCTCTGTCTAAAGCCTCTCTGGGGCTATTAGCTCTTTGAGCAGGCCTTGAGCCTGCCCTAGCTGGGCTCAAGACTAAACCACCAGTGTAACTTAAAAACACCTAAGCCTTGTGGCAGACACCCAAACTCTCTCTAGACTTACCATGAAATAAGGAACACCTGCCTACACAAGCAAGCCTTTCCCTCTGCCCCAGGCAGCTTTCTCCTGTTCCCAGGCCTGCAGAGTCACTTACCCAGTTTCATTGTCACTTGAGGAGCCCCACTGCTCTGCAACCAGGAGCCCCTCCACCCCATTTTTCATGACTCTCAGGCCTAGACGCCTGACCAGCTGAGTCCTTGGGCTTATAGAGCTGCTGTAGACATGTGGGGAGCCTGCTCCAACATGCTAGAAATCAAGCGTGTCAGAGCACAGAAATTGATGCGCTCCAGCAGCCTTCCGTGTCACACGCATCAGCATCCCCACGCTGAAAAAATGGCAGCGGGGCACTTTGAACTAAAACATGTTTGATGAGCTTTAGTTCAAAGCACCCCACTGCCATTTTTCAGCGTGTGGATGCTGATACACAAGACGCACAGGCACTTTTAATTAGTGCAGCTTGCTAATTAAAGGGCCTGGCGCCACATCCCAGAGCACACATTAAAAATGCCTATATAGCTAGCTCCAGCCTGGCCCTCTGCTGCTCAATTGACTTTCCACTCAGCCCCCTCTCACCACCAGGAAACCCTGCTACAGGGGGATTCTTACCTTTCAGTCCTCTAGGCTCCTGCTGGCCTGAACCAAACTTGAGCTAGCACTAACACCCATCAACGTTTGTGTGGCACACACTGTAATGTGTAACAAGGCCCTTAGCTTAATCTTTAATAGTTGGGTAAAATAAGACATTAGGGCACAAATGTCATCTCAGTCCTTTGAACTGCTTAGGGGGCATCATCTACAGAAAAAATTAGATCAGCAAGCTCACAGTGTTATGGTCAAGGATCTTGTGTTTTTTTCTGATTTTAAAAAATCCCCTATTTTTAGTTTTAACCTAAAATCCACATTTTTCCATGATTAAAATGAAAGACCTCCATATATAATATTTTAGATCACTCTCTCTCTCTAATATTATGGAACTTGAGAGCTCTGTATTTTAAAACTTCAATTTCCATGCACCTTTTCAATTATTTTTATCTTTAAAATGCAATCAGCTTGGGCAGTATTTTGGAATGAATAATGATTGTGCCTCATGAATAATGATTATGCCTCAGGAGCTTTCTCATTTCCATGTTTATATTTCCATGTTTATCATTTATATGCTTCTATCTCATGTTTAAATCTTATTTACACTCCCAGAATGGGAACAAAGATAGGGCATTTAGTATCATTTTGTTCCAGTGAAATTAATAGCAATAATAAATCCATGAAGAGTGGTGGTTCACAGCTAGGCTCTTAAAGTCCCATTGTATCTTATTAAATTTGTACCTCATTTCTTGTATCTGCTTAACAGATACAAAGATTGCAGGTGGTGACTTGTCTTTCAGTGTAATGCAACAGCATTTTTTCCTGCAATTCAAGGGTAAAAGCATCCTTTGCCTGAAATGGTTATACAGAAATGCCATTCTTGCAGGGATTTTCTCATTTGGCTAAACTCGGGGCCTTGTAAATTAAAAAGGATAAGAACCACCTCAGTACATTGGGAGCAGCCGTTTGGAAAACTTAAACAGTCCCTACTAAGGTTAAATTAAAAGCTGGTCATTCAGGTGTTGGTCAAATCAATTGATTTTTACTCACTCATGTAACTTCCCCCTCCCACCCCATCCTCACTTTAGTCCTTTAAATGGCTTTGTGCTGTTTTCTGTCTCTTTAGATGTTTAAAGCAAGAATAAGCAACATGCCCAGAATAAAGAAATTTCTGGAACCTGGAAGCCAAAGGAAACCTATCCCTGATGATAAATATGTGGAGACTGTGAGAAGAGTTCTCCAAATGTATTATAATGTAAAAGCGAGCGTGTAGCTGGTTCAAAAAGCAATGAGAAGCTCAATGCTAGCAAATACTTTCTCTCAAACTCTGTAAGAGAGAAATCTATTAAACTACAGAGATAGTTACACTGTCCTTGACTGACTAGCTAGTTGAACTGTATCTGATAGCATTGTATGTAACATGCGAGAATTAGTCAAAATTCTCAATTACTAACAGTTTACTGAATATAACCTTTGTTAAATTTCTCTTCCTGTTCTGGGTGCAATGAGCACATGCATGCAGAGTCCATCATCCCCCTCCTTCATCCCAAGGAAACTTAGAAGTTTTTTACCAGCCCAAAGATGTTCTATCAACAAACACCCAGGGTTTGCAATGAAATACAGATAGAGGTCTCAATTGTAAGCTTAAACTTAATATTTTAAGGGTGAATTTAATCATGGGGAAAAATGAGAATAGTTCTAAGAGCCAGAAAGGCAATCCTAGACCTTCCAACCTTTGTGGGACACCAGCATATCAGCTGAAATGATATCAAGTCACGATATTAGCAACACATTTTCTTCCTCTTAATAAACCTTAGTTTAAGATGTGTGAGCTAACATTGCATGAGTGTCTCCTAATTTTTTTTTTCTGTGTAATCAATAATAATAATAATTGAAAAGACATTTTTCTAACCAAAAAAAATTCTTTGATTCTTATGTGGTGGTAATGTCTTGAATTTGTTGATCAAAGCTGTCTTGCAGCCTACACATGGAGGCTGCCTTTCTCTTCAGACTGGAAACAGTTTTTGAATTAAGTGAACTTAAGAGCTTAGATAATAAACTGTCTCTACCAGCTCTGGCAAAACAAATTACACGTGTTTCCTAAAGCGAGCCTACTAAGTCTAGGTTGAAACCAAATCTAATTCTGCTGCTACTCTCCCAAAAACAAGGCTTTAGAATAGGAACAGAAGCTAACGTGCATGACTTGCTCCAAAACGTGTGGTGTTTTCACTCTGGTTTTGCCAAAAAAAAAAAAAAAAAAGAATCCAGAGAACAACTTCAAGTATTGCTATAAACTCTCAAGCCAGGTAAAATATACTTATGCTTTGAAAGACTGCTTTTTATGTTGGTATCATGGGGTTCTATATTTGTAACTGTGTCTAAGTATCCTCAGTTCACAAATAAGCCTCCTTTCCACCCGCCCCTCCACCCCACATTGTTCATTGTCTAACAGCTGTGGATTAGGAAAAGATGTGCTGCTGTGAAGAAGAGGTGTTTTTCCCTGGCAGTGATACTGGGAGCAAGTACCCTTCCTGTACAGTGCTGGTCAGCATTTAAATAACCTGTTCTCACTAACATGATGGAAGTGTTTTGACTTCATCTTTAAGAGGAGGTGGTTTGGACTGCTCTACCTTGGCTCACTGCTGCCATCTATCTAATGCTGGTTGTAACTTCAATTTGGGAAGGGTCTCTTTCTTTTTTTCCCTTCTCTTAATAAGAATTTGAAAAGCCTGGTATGTAATTTTTTCTCAATTTCTCTGTTGGCTGAACTTTCTTTCTTGTGTATGCAGTTCCTCAGACAGGTGGTTTTGCAGTTTGATGCTGATCTAACCTATCTTCCCAAGATTGGAGTTCCAGGAAATCTAGGAAGATTGACTTGTGTCCTTAGAACTGGAATATTCTGGGATACTTCACCAAATGCCAAAGGTCTGCTGCTGCCTCAGTAGCTCACAGGTTGTCTTTTAACAATATTTATGAAAAATATTCATGGGAGAATGCAGATTATCATCTGAAAGAAATAAATGTGTTCTGCTGAGAGAAGGGGAGTTGTATACATGAGGTGTGCAGTTTCCTGTCCCCGGCCTTAATCCCCTCCCATGGATGTTTTTCAGGCCTTGAACACATGATCACTTGTAGTGCTACAAAAAGAGTGCTATTTTGTGGTGGATCTGCCTTCTATGTAGTGCTGCAGACAGTGTGAATGTATGCACGCTAGCTTTCTGTAGTGCTGTAAGATCATGTATAGTGCTATAAATGTAATATGTGCCCAAGGCTTCAGGACTGAATACGCAGCATCTGTTTTGTGTTGCTGTGTTGCCTGTCACAGATGGAGAGGAACAGGAGCTTTTGGAATAATTCTGGGGGATGCAGGAGGAAATGTTGTTGAACTACCATCCCTGAGACCACAGACCATCTGTGCCATCTTCACAGGTGCAGAAAGAAGCTGATGTGTAGGATCATTTGTCGGCTTGGGAATAATGATGAGACAGCAGTACTGTTTCTTTGAGCCGCAAGGCTTTTCTGAATACTACTGTACTTCAGTTTCGTTTTATTCTCCTTTGCAGTCCTAACTGAGCTCACCTGTCCTAAGTATCATTCCAAGGAAAGTTTGCAGGGTCAGTTTCCACAAGTTTCAGCTTCCTTGGCTAGGGAATCTTCAGAGTGTAGTGGAAGAGGAGGTGGGGGCAGAGGGGCAAGATGGGAACTGCAGAGCTAGCATTCCCCACTGCAGTGCTGTTCCCACACAGGCCTGCCAGCTTCTAGTCCCCTCCATTTGAAAGGACCAGTTGATAAAACCCACAATATTTAAATCTAACCTTTTACATAGCCAAGGAGGAGAGCAAGTCCGAAGGTCACCGCTGTTTACAAGTTCTCTAATACCTAATAACTGACCAAAAGCTGACATCTGAATCATACTCTAGTGCAGCTCTTTTGTGGTAATTCTTAATGGACTTTAGGTAGCCTTGATGATTTTATGACCGTAAAATGAATAGATTGCAGTCCTTAGTTTCTGCAACTTTCTAAAGCAAAAGGAAACTTGGCTGGGAGGATGGTCAGTGAAGTACATAGGAGAAAACTGCAAACACATTCAAGTACCTCCAGCTTTCCCTTCAGCAGACTGCAGTGTCTCTCAACACATTGTCCAATGAGCTACTTTCAGTAAAGTCCTTCTGGTGACAGAAATCTTAGCTTCACTTCTTGTCTCCAGAAGTACCCAAATGTTATATGTACTGCTGTGATGCCCCTTGCCAGAAGAAACAGGAGACTGCTGAAATTTTTAGCCCTACTGACTAATCATTTATGTAGCTTGACTCAGCTTCATCAGAACCAATTTAAGAGTAAGTACTAATAAGCATGAGTAATGAGTGTGGATTTGAATCCTAAGTAACACGTCTGGGTGCAAACATGATTCTGCTAAGAGCATGCAGTTTGCTTTCTGTTCTTAAGACCACAATCATTCAGATTATTAAGAACTTCCACATGCTAATAGCACTGGCTCATTATAGGCACAAAAGGGACATCTTGCTTCTGCTGACCATAGGGACGCTGTAATAAAAATGCATAACGTCTCATAGGTTGGTAGGCCTCAGGCCCAAGGGACTTTAGTCAAGAGTGTGCCAAAACGTAGTGAAAAATAAGCTTGTCAAAGTAGAGTTTTTGTTGAGGGGGAATAGCCCAAGAGCGGCATGATCCTGTGCAAAAACTACTACATCGGGTTATTTGGAAACAGTGGTGCTTGCAGTGCTTGTGGACAGTCCCTTCCTGCTAGTGAGCTGGTCATGAGGGCACAAGGCAACATCTATCATCTGAAGTGTTTTACATGCTCTACCTGCCGGAATGGCCTGGTCCTAGGAGACCGGTTTCACTATATCAATGGCAGTTTATTTTGTGAACATGATAAACCTACAGCTCTTATCAATGGCCATTTGAATTCACTTCAGAGCAATCCACTACTGCCAGACCAGAAGGTCTGCTAAAAGGTCATAGTAACGCAGCATGCGTTCCTTCATCTCAAATTTTGTTCATCACAGATGGATCCCATGTCTCTAGTAGATAAGTCACCTTTGTAGCTAGCATCAATGCCAGCTCCATGCCATTGTACCTTCCTACTATGAAATGTCAGGTCTGGTATTTATGGGAGTGGTATTCTTCCACACCAAACACCATTACCTGAAGCGGGTCATTGATTTGCTGGTATCTAATGGCCAAACTTCCCCCCCCACCCCCCAACAAAAATCCAGATAGCAGGTAAACTGGTGTTAGGATTATGGTGGCATTCCCTACTACCAGTTTATCTTGCATAGTTTCTATTATTCATAATTTACAGAGCCCTTTCATAAGAAGCACCTACTACAGTTTGTGAACAATGGATATTACAAGAAGCTTTGCCTTGTGCAAATGCGCGCACACACCCACACACACACACACACACAACTCCCCTAGTCTCCCCTTTAGCCTCCATGGCCGCATCCACACGAGCAAGCATGTGTCTGTTTCAGCATCTCAAACAAATTTTCAATGACACAGGAGGCATGCCACAAACGAAAAAATGTTCCCCATACTGCAGCTATGCAGCATAGACTCTGATACCAGTATAAAAAGAAAACACACCAGAAAAAAAGCGGTGCAGGGAGCACTCCTACAGCATGCCTCGAAGCAACTGGAGGTTAGGTCCACCAAAGAGGCGTTCTAGCACCTGTAGAGAGCATCTCTATGCCTGCTGCATGCCCCTGCTGCTCCAGCACTGCAGGAAATGGAAGCAGGGCATGGTTGGCAGCAGTGGCTCAGAGCTGGCTGAGACCCACGCTCTGTCCCCGGTAATCAGGGACATGGGGAAACTGTGTGTGGATATAGGGGGACTGTGAGGGTCAGGGGGACTGTGAGGGAGGGGTCCCCCACCTGCCCCCCCCCCCCCCCCCCTGGCCGCACAGCCTGTACCAGCAGGAGCAGCCAACAGCAGGCCCTTGGGGTCCTCATGGTGTGCTGCCAGCAAAGCCCCCCAGTGACATGCAGCACCACCTGAGACCTGGGGGCTACACATGGAGCTGATCTGACACACACCTTCAAACAACATCTGGTTGGCTCCTGCTGCCAACCAGGGACACCATCAGGAGGCTCTGCCTGCAGCAGGCTATAAGCACCCCGAAAGCCCACTATTGCTGCTGCTGCTGGCAACAGGGGTTGTATGCCATGGGGAGGGGGGTTTACAGATGTGTGGCAGACACCCTCCACAAACCCTACACTCACAACCCCCTCCCCCACAATACAACCACAAACCCCCCACCTACAAACCAACTCCCTAACCCCCTTCGGAAGGTAATTTGGCATCAATGCCATAGAACAAGATAACAAAGCTCCCTTGAACCAGAGAATTGGTAATACACAACCAAAGAATTAACACCTGCTTCAATGTTGTGCTCAGAAGAGAGGAACTAAAAACTCAAAGGTAAGAAATCTCATATTTTTCATAAATATCCCTTGTGAAAACAGCTGTCACATCCATAATATCATTTTACATGGTAACACAGAGACAAGGAAATATCCTTGCAGTCAAACAGAAGCCAAAGCACTGGATTAATTCTTGAATAAAAATGGAAACCCCTCTTCTGTATATGGTATGACTGGAGACTCCTCCCACGGAGAGCAGGTTCCAAAGTCTCATTATTTGAGACACGTTTCCTTGTTTAAAAAAGGTAAGATCTGGTGCACAGCAAGGACTTGCAGGTTAGTCTTGCAACCCAAAGAAAGCAGATTTCTTTTAATCCCCAGCTGTTTGAAGTTTCGTTTTAGTGAGATTAATAAGAGCATAGTTACTAGAGCTAACATAACTTCTTCCAAGTTTGATAGGTGTTGGGAAACAGTCCGCAGGGAACACAAGTCTGCTGGTAGGGAGCAAAAGGACAGTGGAAGGAGTGAGTGGGTAAAAGTGGGTTGAAACGACAGATGGAATTGACTGAGCTCAAGTGTTCACTGAGAGAACAGGTAGATGTAGTGGCCAGATCAAAATATGTTGGACCCTTTTCCCGAGGTTAGTACAAGGATAAAGTTTGTATTGGTCCCAAAAAAAAAATGTTTCTCATCATTCTGATGACCAGTTTGATGTTTAAAAGTTCATTTTACTAAGGCTTATAAAAAAGTGACTGCACATCCTGGGACTGCAATCTGAGTGCTTATGCATGGTACAGCGTGTTAGCAGGGGTTGCTGAAAAACAAACAGGTAGAGGTGGGTCCAGGTCAGACCTCAGGTACAGTCACCCCCCCAAATTATTTTGGTGGTGGAGGTGAACCTCTCTAGATATGGCAGCATAAGCTGATTCTTTACGCTGGTTCCTGGCAACAGTAAAAATCTTTCAGTGGAAAATCCCACAATAATTTGGTTTTCAGAAAAGAATATGTAGAATCTGTGCTTTGCTGTGGTCAAACTGAATAGTGTATAGCAAGTCTTTGTTCTATTTAGAGTTATTTCCAAGAAGTGTTTTGGCTCTTTTTATTTGTTTCTGTGGACAGTTCTTAGGTTTTAAGTTCTTTTGGGCAAGTACCTTCTCATGTTTTTAAAGCACTTCAGCCTGCCATTGCTACAGTAAAAGAATATATTTTAATAATAGTAGTTGCAACTTGACATAGATATAAAAGCAGTGGGCAGTTAATAATAAAAATATAAATAATGTCATTGGAGATCCCTGTTCGTGAAGACAAATTCTCAAAGTTCAATGACTTCATAGCACACATAGGATCCAGCTCTAAAATAATACTCTCAACTTGTAAGTGTGACTAGCACAATATTGTTTTGTTCCCTGTTTGCTTATAATAGTATAAAAGAGGCACTTTCCCTCCCTTTTTAATATAAGGGTAACTAGAGTTGCAGAGTCTGATCATCCTGAAAGCAGGAGCTAAGAAGAGAAACAAAAGAAGTCATTAAAGTGTTAGGGTGGGGAATTATACAACTTCTGCCTTCTGGTCATTTCTTTAGCTCCCATAATACACACACAGGGCAGAATCCAGTTCAGTGAATTTGAACAATACCCTATCAATTGCAGATCAGCTGACTACCTATTGTAGCCTGTAGTAAAAATGTTACTTTAAATGTGGATTTCCCCGCCTTCACCACTCCCTCAAGCTTTTTCTCCTTTTGTTTTTTTCCCCAGGCGATCAGATCCTCACTCATGGCTGGGAAACCAAAGCTTTATTATTTCAATGGAAGGGGACGAATGGAATCAGTCCGATGGCTACTGGCAGCTGCTGGGATTGAGGTTGGGTCTTCAGTCCTAAAGAAAACAAATGGCTTCAGACAGAATGTCTGGCTGAATTTATTCCAGAATTTTATTTATTTATTACAGAAAAAGAGCTCTGAGTCTTATGACTATAGAAGACAGGGTAGAAGACACTTCAATTTCTGCTTTGAACACAAGCAGGACTTTTTTTAATGGTCAAATTTAAGTAAATACAGTTACAAAAGTTTAAAACTATAAGCTGAACTGTGTTGTGCCTTTGCATGTCACCTATAGAATTAATGGCAGTTCACACACAAATATAGGAAAGATAGTTGTTGCGGAGTTTAAGTTGAGAAAAAGTCATTTTAAAATTGGGTAAAATTTTACCCAAATCTACATTTCTAAAAATGTAGAAATAGATTTTATTTGTTGTTATTAAATATACTGCTGACTGACAGTATATTTAATACTGGATTCCTTCTGTAATTTGGAGTTGGATACTTCAGCAAAACATTTCATATAGCTGCTGTGGTTTGCTCAGAGACTCCCTCTGACACCAGAGAGCAAAAGCTCTTTTTTAGTGCAATTTTATTAGGAAGAATTGAAGGTTTTATAGAGCAGGTGAGAAGTGAACGCTATATTTCTAGAGCTTAAGTTTGGAAACAGAGGCACAAAGAACTCAATAGTTTTGACTAAGAAAAATCTGAAATGGTTTATCATCCCCAGTTGTTTTAAAAATATGCAGCTTCCGCTATCGTAATAGAGCTGAAGGTTTTATCAATGTGTTTATGATTCATGTAGTACCAGCCAGGCATAAGAACTGAGTGTAAGGCTTTTTAAATTTTCTTTCCCTAATCAGAAAGTCCTTATCTTGACTTTTGTGTATTTAGCTCATAGCTTAGAAACAGAGGACTGGAACAGAATTGAGCCACTGAGTCCAGTCTTTTGCTGACATAGGCAACCATATTATATAATTCCATTCCAGGGATGGCAAGCTGGTCAATTAACCAGTCAAATATTGTCAGTTGACTGGTCAATCGAGTGCATTTTTGACCAGTCAAAGATTACAGCAATTTTACAAATAAACTACATTTTTTGTAGTTTTCTTGACAGAAATGTGATATTTTATTGTTTTTGACACATTTCTTAATCGAAAGTTTGTGCTTTTCCCATGTATTACTTGGATCTATTGGCAATTTTTTTACAATTTTTGACTGATATTTGACCAGTCAAATATGCATCCCTATCCCATTCATAAACTTACTAAGCCCCATCTTGAAACTAGTTACTGGTAGGTTTTCTCCCTGCTATGTTCATTGGAAGGTGGTTCCAGAATTTAATTACTCTGTGGGTTAGGAAACTTATGCTGGATATGATAAGGTACTGGGTATCTACAACACTGCATTGCCTAACAGAGATGCCTGGCTCCACTAATTAATCCAAAACCCATTCACTGAGCAGGAAGCTGCCTAACCCTAATCAATAGGAAAAGCTAAGCAGAGGGCAGTGTCTGAAATCCCACTCCGATTGGATGTTGTAGGGA